AGATGGTTGGGTCCTTTCACCATTGCAAAATTTTTTCCACATGAAGCGGTTGAATTTCATCACGAAGAAAATGGGAACTTCAAGGTTAACGGGCAACGGTTGAAACCATACTTTGGAGGCGATTTTTCGAATGAGAAGTCATCCATTCCTCTTGCCAATCCGGAGTGAAGTAGCCTTATAGTCGAGCTAAGGACTATAAATCAACGCTTGTTGGGAGGCAACCCAACCTTCTTACCCTTATAACTTTTTGTTATTACTTGAGATTACTACTCTTGTTATTGCATTTTTGAACTAATATCATCTTTTTGTAGGTCATAATTTTCAAACGCCTAGCCACCCATGGATCTCAACAAATCTAGAGTACATCATATACAAGGTCATGAGTCAAGAATTCATTCCAAACATCGTTCAAAGAACATTCAGTCAGGGAAGGGTCGTTAACCCTCTTTCCTTACTTTATATTATTCTTGTACACATTGAAGACAATGTGTGATTTAAGTTTGGGGGTGAATGTACTTGAATTGGTAATTTTATGTTGACATGTTAGATAGCCTTGTTGGCTTAGGATTGCTTGATGTTTAAAATTGTTATTAATTCATGAGCTATGTCTGACCAAATATGCTATTTGTACCTAAATGTTTTCCAAAAATTACTTGTCCATGTGAGATCTTGAGTTACTTCGAGCACAATAGTCATAATTAATTGTTATCTAGATGTGGAAATTTTTGGGTTGACGGAAAGATTTTTGAATTGGATGAACTAGGTTGTGAGTTGTGCATAAATTTTTGTCAATCATATATTCTCTTCTCTTTCACTTTACCACATTGTGAGATAAGTTTGGGGGGTGGTCGAGCCGGTGAAGGATACTATCTAGAAGTGTGCGAGTCCATGCATGTTGAAAAAAATATTTGTGTGGAGTGTCTTTTGCGAAGTATATGCTAGGGATCTAAGCCATGTTAAGTTGTGCTTAAAAGAATGATATTGCACTTGTTGAATCTTGGGCCTCACTTCGTAGCCTTTTTTACTCGAGTTATTAAGTCTGTTGGGGTATCTCAAAACCCGGTACCCTTTGGTCTAAACAACCAGGGAGTTATCGACATAAAGCTCGTT